ACTGAAGAAGAAGAAGGAGGAGGAGCATGTGTCTGTCATGCTCCTTTGCGGTTCCCACATCCTGTGCTGGGAATTGTGGGAACCGCAGGGAGCATGACAGACACATGCTCCTCCTCCTCCTCCTCCTTCAGTGTTAGTCAGAGGAATGCCGCCGGACCGGCGAGGCTGCTACCCGGTCCAGCGGCTGCAGCATGAAACGGCCGCCCCCCCCTCACAGTGTGCCACCGGACCGGCCACCCGGTGGCACCTGCAGTCCCCCCCCAATCCAGCCCTGACGGCGGGCCCCCCCTCCCGGCCGGGCCCTCGGACCGTGTCCGAAGTGCCCGACCGGTCAGTCCGCCCCTGAATGTGCTATATTTTCACTTGATTCAGTAAATTTTTGGTTTAGTACATCAGGCCATGTTTATCCACACTAGGTAGTCATTTTTCATTTAGTACTTTTAGCCTACATTCAACCACACAATTATTTTTTTTCATTCGGCTCAGTACATAAATCCTACAATCAACCATGCAATATTTTTCAATTTGGTTCAGTTACATTTGGCCTGCATTCGGCCACACTACATTTTCACTTTGGTTTAGTACATTTGACTCATGTACGGCCATGCTACATGTTTATTTACTTAAGTACATTTGGCCAATGTTCGGCTGTGCTGAATTTTTACTTCATTCAGTATATTCGGGCTATTTTCGGCTGCACTACATATTCACTTTAGTCCAGGGTATTCTGCTTATGTTCGTCTGTGTAATATTTTCACCATGGTTCACTATATTCGGCTTATGTTCAGCTACTTCACACAATCACTGTGATTCACTAAATTCAACCATTCGACGTTCGGTCGTGCTACATTATCTATCTGGGTCAGTACAATCAGTTGTATTCGGGCAAGCTTTCAAAGCTTGTTTAGCCATGTTAACTGTCAGTAGGCATTTACATATAGTTTTTGCCTTGCCACGAGTTAGTTCCAGGACTGCAGGTAAGCTTCTGCTGTATGTTTTTAAGGCCATAAGCACCTTCACACTCTCGTTCATACGTCCCATTTCTTCAGCTGCTTCATTGTGGTATTTATCTGCACAAAAGTGACACCAGAGAATGACACTTAGTCATTTCACATTTTCATTGTGTCACATATACAGTCAGGTCCATAAATATTGGGACATCGACACAATTCTAATCTTTTTGGCTCTATCCACCAACACAATGGGTTTGAAATGAAACACACAAGATGTGCTTTAACTGCAGACTTTCAGCTTTAATCTGAGGGTATTTACATCCAAATCAGGTGAACGGTGTAGGCATTACAACAGTTTGTATATGTGCCTCCCACTTTTTAAGGGACCAAAAGTAATGGGAAAGATTAACAGTCATAAATCAAACTTTCACTTTTTAATACATGGCTGCAAATCCTTTGCAGTCAATTACAGCCTGAAGTCTGGAATGCATAGACATCACCAGACACTGGGTTTCATCCCTGGTGATGCTCTGCCAGGCCTCTACTGCAACTGTATTCAGTTCCTGCTTGTTCTTGGGGCATTTTCCCTTCAGTTTTGTCTTCATCAAGTGAAATGCATGCTCAATCGGATTCAGGTCAGGTGATTGACTTGGCCATTGCATAACATTCCACTTCTTTCTCTTAAAAAACTCTTTGGTTGCTTTTGCAGTATGCTTCGGGTCATTGTCCATCTGCACTGTGAAGCGCTGTCTTATGAGTTCTGAAGCATTTGGCTGAATATGAGCAGATAATATTGGCCGAAACACTTCAGAATTCATCCTGCTGCTTTTGTCAAAAGTCACATCATCAATAAATACAAGAGAACCAGTTCCACTGGCAGCCATACATGCCCACGCCATGACACTACCACCACCATGCTTCACTGATGAGGTGGTATGCTTTGGATCATGAGCAGTTCTTTTCCTTCTCCATACTCTTCTCTTCTCTTCTCTTCCCATCACACTGGTACAAGTTGATCTTGGTCTCATCTGTCCATAGGATGTTGTTCCAGAACTGTGAAGGCTTTTTTAGATGCTGTTTGGCAAACTCTAATCTGGCCTTCCTGTTTTTGAGGCTCGCCAATGGTTTACATCTTGTGGTGAACCCTCTGTATTCACTCTGGTGAAGTTTTCTCTTGATTGTTGACTTTGACACACATACACCTACCTCCTGGAGAGTGTTCTTGATCTGGCCAACTGTTGTGAAGGGTGTTTTCTTCACCAGGGAATCAATTCTTCGGTCATCCACCACAGTTTTTTTCCGTGGTCTTCCGGGTCTTTTGGTGTTGCTGAACTCACCGGTGCGTTCTTTCTTTTTAAGGATGTTCCAAACAGTTGATTTGGCCACACCTAATGTTTTTGTTGTCTCTGTGATGGGTTTGT